CCCATGCCTTGCCTTACCCTGCCATGCCCGAGTCATTTTTGCGACTCTAAGGTAAGAAAAAGAGAGGACAACCACACTGCCTTTGCCTGCAAAACAGTACGAACGAGTAGTTCCCACCCATCTCAGTTCTGCTTGCATTTGCCTTTTCTACTTCTAGGGCTCACTCTTTCCACTCTGCTGAAACAAGTCTAAGGTCTCAGTTTTGATTGGAGACTTCAGCTGAAAATTAATAGCAGATAACACTGCTCCCAATGAATGTAGGGCACACACTAACCATTCATTCCATTCAGGGGTGTTTTCACTGTTTGAATCTATTATAGTGAATGGTCCTTCTGCACTGGTAGTGACTGCTGTCATTGTCAGTGGACTTCCAGACCTAGGAAATGCTTGTGCCACATAGTTTGTGAACTCCATTCAATCTCTCAGCTGTAGACATCTGGATGTTTTTTTTATACCATTTGCCATGTTTTTGCTGGACAAAATTATTCACTCTTTGAGAACTAAAAGAAAAATGAAATTCATGTGACTTTTTCCCTAGTAGCTCGCTTTTTTCATTTTCAACACGTGATGAATTGAAATGTTATTTGAGCTTATCTTGAAAAATAAACCTGGAAACATGAAGGAGGGCTTTATCGTGTTTATCTTGGATACAGCTCTTTGTGAGAATGATAATCAATGATAATTTAATATATACTGAATGCTAATTAATTTGATTTTTTTTGACAATGATTTGTAAAACGTTGACCTTTGTAAGCTATGAATAAGCTAGCCTGCTGCAAAGTATAAGTGAGATGTATGTTTGAGTTGCGAATGAGTGAATGAGAATGAATAGAATTTGAAACAGTTTGTCTTGGGATGAATAAATCCTTTAGGTCACTATGAGTCTGTTTCCTATTATTTTATTTCCCTGTTTATGTGTCTTGGCATATAAACAGTAGGTTTTCTTGATGAAGGATCATTCCGGACTGTAACAGCCCTCATCTACCCCACAGTCTCTAGAGACTCCATGTGCAACTGGAGGAATGTAAAATGCCGAACTGCTTTTTTTCTTTTTTTGCTTGTGTCCACACTTCTAAGACCTTGGAATTGCTTGTTATGAGGTCAATATCACTACAAAAACCTGTGGCGAATTAGCCCTCTATCTTTTTTTTTTTTTAGTTTTTTTTTAGTTGTCCTGTCAACAGCTATTGCGGTTCAGCTGTCTCTCTCTCTCTCTCTCTCTCTCTCTTTTCAAACCACTGCCTGCAAGAAATGTGTTTTTGAATGAGATTCCATTACTGATATAAAATAATGTTAAACAGTGATTAGGAAATAAATGATAAATTTGTGTGTGAGGAGTAGTGCAAATGGAATTGGTGGACTTTTGTATTTATGTGTTTGTTAAAACTAGTATTTGGTAGTTAACAGCCTTTTATTTTTTTTTTCTTTTCTTGATTCAGTGCAATTTCACCCCTAGAAATCCCCTTATCATTGAGAAGTGTATTTATTTGCTTTAATTTAGACGGTGCATTTGATGTTTAGTTTCAGGTTATCCTTTTTTTTTCCTTTAGTTTTTCTTTCTTTTTTTTGGTTTAGGTTATAAGTCATGTAGTCATTTCATAGAAGTTGTCATAACATTGGTTTTCTTTCCCTTGTTTTTGGATCTGTGCCAGCACACTATAAATGTTCATTCCATAAACGGACTTAACTGACTTCTTTGGCAACTTAACCAGATGAATAAAATCCATTTTAAATCATCTACATCTTCTTTTTCATCTTCATGTTTCTTTCCCACATTCATTTGTTTTTTATTGTAGTACTTGGAGCAGTAATAATTGAAAAAATTGTTAAAGGTAAAATCAGCTGGAAAGAAGTTTCTTTGCGTAATAGTGAGAAAATAGCACCAATATGTCATAATTTTCCTCTTAAGTACACACAGAGACTTGTGTAAAAATGTAAAACTTTATTGATGCATTTTTCTTTCCTCTTTAGACAGTTAAGCTCTTCCTGATTACTAAAAGCAACACGTTAGTGCTTGGTTCTCACATTTCTCAAGAATACTGTTAAAGAAACTGATGAGCTATTTGGCTGTGGTAACACTGCAGGCAATAGACTTGGCCAAAGCATTGCATGGGTACGCAAATACTTCTTTGCACTGATGATCTGTGATAGATAGCTTTTTCCCTTCCTTTCAACAATCATAAAAAGTAATGGAAAGGTGAATGTGGAAGGCAGAAAAGAACGTACCAACTTTACAGCAGCATACTGTGGCCACTCTGGTACCACAAGTGATATCATCTTCTCAGCTGTGCTTGGTGTGCAGCATCTCTGTAAGTAGAGAGTTACAGGGCAAATCTCCTTGAAGATGGCGCTGGTACAAATAGTCCTCAATTTGCAAGCTAATGCTGCGAACTTCAGGCAGCCGAAGAAGCAACTGGCCAAACTTGTCACAATGTCCTGGATGATTTTGCTGAGTGTACTCCATCAGCGCCCTGTTGACTCGCTCTTGAGTTTGCTCTACCTGCCTGCGGTTATGCACTGACTTCACATCTAGAGCAGAAAAAAACCCACACAACACAAACATAATTAACGTTGAACAAAAGCTACATTGGATATGTGTCTTCGAGGAAAATTGCTCACCGGGGTTAAATAGCACCAGGTATTTGAGACAGACAAACTCGTGTCTGTCCAAGTGGAGTGCCTTAAGTTTGGTTACTAGGTCTTGGGTCCTTGATACCAGGCTACTCAGTGTCACTCCTGCCTGGGAAATGATGGTTGACACCTCAATCTGCATCAGAATAAGACAAAGAATGTGCTCATTATTACTTTCATTTCTTTGAAACATTTCTAAATGTAAGAATGCAGCATTTTAAAGTAGAAACCTGTTGTCCTGTGACCAGATATATGCAGCCTTCTTTGCCATACGTCACTTGTCTACATAAGTGATCTAGTACCAGCAGCTCACTCCAACAGCTCTGCAACAGCACCATTTGGTCTTCCACCTATTGGAAAGATTTTGTGTGTATTTGCAAATTAAAGATTATACTGGATGGCCTCAATTAAGGACGCATGCATGTTAAGGAACAAATGGGATAGATCTACTCTAACAGCTAATTAATCATTGTATCGCTAGAAAAGTGTTATTAATTTCATGTGTATCCCATGAGTTAATGGTTCCTCACCATCAGCTCCTTAAAGAGGGAACTGTTTCTGGCCCACTCCACTAGGCAAAACAGAGTCTGGTCAGCCATTTTGCACATAATGCTGAATGTATTCAGACGGTCGTGCTTGCCTCGGTTGGCCTGTTCTCTCTGAAGACTGGCCAGAACTTTGGCATTCAGCTGGCTCTCATCCTGTTCCCCTTCCAGCAGTTGGCTTAAGAAGTTAGGTGTAAGCGCTGATGATAGAGGGTTGGTTGGTGTTTGTGTGGGAGCCTGGGATACAGGAGTGGTTAAGCTTTTTGTTGAAGAGGGCGATGATTCTAGTGTACTTCTTGGTGTGAATGAGCTGTTTGGGGTTGAATCCACTGTATAGTTTACAGGAACTGGGCTGTAGCCAAAAGGCACTTCCAACTTCTCCTCAGGGTGTCCAGGGAAAGTGCAGTGGTACAGTCCAGGGTAAGGCAGGGATGGAGGAGTAAGACCTCTGTTTGTGTTCACAGTGCAGTCCAGAGACATGGGTTCACTTGACTGCCCCATGCAAGAAGTATACATGTGGGGTTGATTAACAGCTTCAGAAGTTAATGGATGACTGATGCAGCTGGTTACCACCTGGAGGTCATTTAGAGCGTGGGGACCATGTATTTGTCCAGTTTCTACCTTAATCCTGTAGGGATCAGTGTTTGACTGGTGATACACCTTTTGCTGTTTCATTTGTCTGTCCCGGCGGTAGAGGGGCCCAAATTTGTTCCTGCCTCCTCTCATACGATCTGCTCTGACCGCTGATGAGAGAACATCAAACAAATATTTAATTATAAACAAAAATATGTAAAAGATCATCTTTAAAAAATTACAGTCTCACTCCATTTAGAGTTTGCAATCATTTACATAATTTACAATCTGGGTCAGCACTGCTTTATGAGTTCTTAGATAAGTCTCAAGGGAGGCAAAAAAAACAACCTTGCGTATCAGTGAAAGAGAAAGCCTGTTGCAACTGAATGGTCTACAAATTAGCTGTGAATGAAGTGGTGGCAATTTGGTGTACCTTCCTTCTTCATACCCACAGCTAAACACTTCTGGAAGCGGCAGAATGGGCAACGTTTTCTCTGAGAAAGGCTCATGGGGCACCTCTGTTGCTCTGCACAGGTGTAATGTTTGTTGTTTTGCACTGAACGTTTAAAGAAGCCCTGCAAAGAAAATGAGAGAGAGGGAACCTTTATGCACACCACAAAACCATAGATATCTACATGTGCATCATTATCGTCGTAGAACTATGGGACATATGTATCTCTTAATACATCTGTAGTACCAGATTATAGCTACCTGGTGTTTACTGCAAAACCATTAATGTGTTATTTATTGTGGACTCATAAGTCACTTTGGTTTTGCAGTTAACAAAGCTAAGATGACTTTTGGTGGCATAAAAGAATGCATATTTTGCACTGCCCAAACCTTATCCTTTACCTTGCAGCTCTCACAGGTAAGAAGTCCATAGTGGTATCCTGACACTTTGTCTCCACAGACAGGACAGCTGTCCTCTGAGTCCAGTCTACTCTCTGCCTCTGTCTTTTGCTCCTGAGCTGAGGACCAGTAATATTTAATGAAAAGATTTACATTATGACACAAACTTCACCCTTTGAGGGTGTTCTTCTTCTTCTTTTTTAAACAATGTTTTGTTTCAATGATATGCAAAGCTACTGCTTAAACTGAATACACTTTTCATATCAAATATGTGATGTATATAATATGTTGGAAATTAGTATACTTGGTAAGGTTGCAAGGAATCATGTGTGCCATGCCAAGTATAATATTTCAAGTCATCTAAAACAGGAGGATAATTAGCAATCAGACATGAGTTAGAATTTTGTAAATCCTGAGTGGCTAAAGAGACTAGAATGCTGTGCTGCTGAAGTGTAAAAGTGTCATCTAACAGGGTTTATTGTCCAGCTGCTGAAAGAACAGTGGGCAGGACCATCGCTTTGCTGTAGACAGTACCTTATCACTGGGCTTGATTTGCTTGACTATGATCACAGATATGACCCTTACATAATATCCAGAACTATTCTCTCTATCTCCTCTATGACCGAAGGGAATCTTCTGGGAACCACTTTAAAACCTTTTTGGGTTTTTTCTTATTCTAAATGTGTTTTTTCAAATGAAAGTGACTACTGTTTTTCATAATATACATTTACAGACAATGTTAAAACCTGCTTCAACTTTCAAAGTATGAACTTTTTAACACAGGTAGTTTCACACAACATTTTTAAAATATATCTATTGACACCTACATACCAGTTCACTATTGACCCATAGCCACTTTCGTCTAGTACTCACATGTTGATGATCCCTCCAAATTGATCAAATCCTCTTGATAGTTACCAGGGTGGTGAACAAGAGGCTGGTGCTGCTGTAGGTGATAACCTGGTAGGTCCATTTTGATAAGTGGGACATGGACTCAGCCCAGTTTGAACTTCATTGTAGCAGAGATCAGGAGACCGCAGACACTGCAGGTGGCAGGTGAGCAGGCCCAACCAGCGGCTGTGGACTGATCTTGTTTAAGGCCTACATGTGGACTTCGATCTATAGTGAGTGTCATAAAACCTCTCCTGATTGGCACTCCTACCAGCTAGTCTGTCAGCAAGCAAGCCAATCAACCTCACATAGGTTGATAAGTCAAATAGCCACCTGCTGGAATCTTCCTGTAGTGAAATCATGTCAGTATCATTAAGGTACTCTGAGCTCACCTGATAAGAATCATTTAGTACACATAATCACTTTATTCAAACTACAGACATTCTGATTTTATTTGTCATTCCCTCCATTATACTTGTAATTCTGAGCTGATAATGTAGGGTTTGGGTGAATGAAAATCTGATGCTAGAGTCAGTGTTATATAAAAGACTCAAAATGAATTTGCAGTGACATGGAAATATAATTACACAGGTTTTACCAGCAGAATGCATTGATAATTCTATGCAAAGATGTATTCTAAATTAAAAGAATAAGGAGGAATTTATGCCTTTATTGCCTTTATGAGCAATATTTATTTAAAAGAGTATCAACAGAATTATTTAACTTTTTTCTTTTTAAGAAATAGGACAGGGGGAATGAATGAGAGAAAGAGGGGGAGAGAAAGAAAGAAAACCAAAGGGGAGAAGAGACGGTGAGAAGGGGGGAGAAAAAAAA